ATGATTACTGACTTCGTACGAGAGGTCATAGGTCTCTGATAGAAACGCATTACACTTAGAAGGCAATTGGGTTTGAGGGATAAAATGATTGTCTATTTGTGTGAACGGAATGCTGGTACTGGATGTCGTAATGTACGGATCCGAGTGTGGTCAACATTATTGGAAGGTCTGGGTATTAAGAGTATAAACGGAAAGTATGGTTATTGTCTTATCGGGTTTGGTTGTTGTCGACATCGTGCTGATATGCTCTTGAGTGTAGACTTCGGTCGAGAAGGTCGGAGCGGATATGCGGAACGATGTGAACATTATGATGAGTGATTGGGGTGACGGCTTGGTGTGTGACCGGTGGTGACGAGTGGTGCGTATACTAATGGTAAGAATCCTGCAGCGACTGCGCCAAATGTGACTGGACTCCCAAATGGACTCCCTAATCGACTTTATTGCGGTTCTATTTCGTGTTATTTTTACTTCTTTATTCTGTCTTTTCTGTGACCCATAACTGGTCCCGAATGATGTCCCGAATGGACTCCCTAATCGACTTTATTGCGGTTCTATTTCGTGTTATTTTTACTTCTTTATTCTGTCTTTTCTATGTCTTTTCTGTGACCCATAACTGGTCCCGAATGAGGTCCCGAATGGACTCCCTAATCGACTTTATTGCGGTTTTATTTCGTGTTATTTTTACTTCTTTATTCTGTCTTTTCTGTGACCCATAACTGGTCCCGAATTAGGTCCCGAATGGACTCCCTAATCGACTTTATTGCGGTTCTATTTCGTGTCTTTTTCTTTTCTTTATTCTGTCTCTTCTGTGACCCATAACTGGTCCCGAATGAGGTCCCGAATGGACTCCCTAATCGACTTTATTGCGGTTCTATTTCGTATAGTTTTCTCTTCTTTATTCTGTCTTTTCTGTGACCCATAACTGGTCCCGAATGATGTCCCGAATGGACTCCCTAATCGACTTTATTGCGGTTCTATTTCGTGTTATTTTTACTTCTTTATTCTGTCTTTTCTGTGACCCATAACTGATTTTTCTCTTCTTTATTCTGTCTTTTCTGTGACCCATAACTGGTCCCGAATGAAGTCCCAAACGGGCTCCCGATTAGACTATTGTTGTTCTATTTCGTGTCGTTATCTTTTTTTTATTCTGTCTTTTCTGTGACTTATAACTGGTCCCGAATGAGGTCCCGAATGGACTCCCTAATCGATTTTATTGCGGTTCTATTTCGTGTCTTTTTCTCTTCTATATTCTGTCTTTTTTGTGACCCATAACTGGTCCCGAATGAGGTCCCGAATGGACTCCCTAATCGATTTTATTGCGGTTCTATTTCGTGTCTTTTTCTCTTCTTTATTTAGTCTTTTCTGTGACCCATAACTGGTCCCGAATGATGTCCCGAATGGACTCCCTAATCGACTTTATTGCGGTTCTATTTCGTGTTTTTTTCTCTTCTTTATTCTGTCTTTTCTGTGACCCATAACTGGTCCCGAATGAAGTCCCAAACGGGCTCCCGATTAGACTATTGTTGTTCTATTTCGTGTCGTTATCTTTTTTTTATTCTGTCTTTTTTGTGACTTATAACTGGCTCTGAATTAAGTCCCAAACGGGCACCCGAGTAGACTCTACATTCTGTCTTTTCTGTGTTCGTTTCTTTCCAAACACTATGACGTCCACTCATTATATGGCCTATCGATGGCTATTCCCACACAAAAGTAATTAAACAATAATTTTATAATATTTTCATAATTTGCTAAATTACTCAATTAATAATTAAGGCATTGAATGAAATAACGGGTAAAAGAGGTTATGTATTATCGCGATCAACATTTGTATCGTCGGGACAATACACGGGTCACTGGTTGGGAGACAACCGAAGCAAATGGTCTCATATGAAGGACTCAGTGATAGGAATGTTGGAATTCAATCTCTTCGGCATTCCTTATGTATTGAAAAGTAGATTTAGCTGAAGAAGTAGAAGTAGATTCCCTTCATATTGTGGCCAAAACCAAAGGCTATACTTCAAAGAAACCGCATATCGTTGAAAAGTTTGCGATCGCAAACACAGTCAACTCAAATATAACGGCTTCCGTCAATGGAAAACCCGTTGCATTTGTTGTGTCGAGAGACGACTCGACATTCATTCACACGAATTTATTTCTTTTAGTGAACAACGTATTTTTGTTAATGTTTTGTCTGTATTTTTGTGCTTTATTTACAAATAATCAATAATAAGATTAATTGTATTTCTGATTATAAATTAATAATTATATAAAGTTAATATTAGCGGAGGGATCAAACACCGGGGAATTGGTTCGGTAAGTGTTGGCACATTACTTGTGCTCAACCGCGCGTTTTTTGTATCCAATCTTAAGTAATGAGCAAAGTTTGTTTGTTTAGGTAAATATTTTTGCTGTATTTATGAAAAACTAATTGTAATTCTTAAGTATTCAAATGATTGATTCATTAATTATGGTATTAAAACATTTTTAATAAATTATTTTAATAAACGCATCTTTTAATGATTAAATAACAAAATATTTCTTACATTTATTGTTTTTAAGTTAAACCAAGCATTCATTTGAAGTTAATTAGTCTAATATTTACATCAAAAAATTGTTCATAAACTAAATCCGTTTGAATTAATTTCTCTCAATTTCGGAAATTTCTCAATAACTCTCTTGTATTTCTCTGTAAAATTCATTGAAAATACATTTTCTTCAGACATAGAATTGCATGCAATACTAAATTAATATCAGTAAAGGAGTGCAATACTATCTAGATAACATTGCATCCTATTTTAGATCAATAATCAAAATAATTATAAATTAAGTTATTAAATTGATTAACACACGGGATTAGTTTATAAGTATTTTAAATTAACAAATTGCTAAGAATTAAATACAATGCTTTTTTATTTCCAAATAAATTAAAGTCAAATTTGAACTAAATTGCTAGTGATAACTAAAGTAAAATAGTGTTAGTCTGTGTCGCTACCAACACTCCTAACTCTTACCATATACCTGGTCACACACCTTATACCACCTTGCTGACAACAAAACCACTTAGCCCAATCGCTCAAACGTATAGTATTTTGTTGAGTTAAACAAATATCATGCAACTAGGTAAATAAAAACACGACCAAAGTAACTAGGTAGATTTTATTGAGACACTCCAAAAGTTGTGGTACACTCGATGGAAGCCTGTGTGCGACTAAAGCACAGTTCCCAACACATCACTGCTCTCGCATCACATTGCGAGCTATTTTTGGGCCAACACTCTCTTCGCTCCTAATTTGGGGCTCAAAGAGTTTTGCCACTAAAAATACTAACAATAGATACTATTTATTTCCGTTTGTATACGTTTGTCAATTTGTTAAATTATACTTGGTTACTAATTCATCATAACATATTTATAAAATTTATTAATGTTAAACTGATTATCATATCAAAATCTAATTAACATTTAAAGATGTTTAAAATTTATGTCTTTTAAATTATTCTATAGATTGAAATGCTGATTCATCAAATATTAAGTTTTCAATTGTATAAATTGCAATTTCACATTACAAATTTGATTAATTATTTTTGATTTTAATCCGAATTTGACTACTATTACGGAAAGCTTATTATATTTATTTTATTTAAATGTTACGATAAAATCCCTTTACTGAATATGAGATACTATTGCATGCAATATTATGGCAATTTTAGTGAAGGGGTGCAATACTATCTAGATAGCATTGCATACAATTTTGGAAAACGCTATTTTACTGATATTGACTTAGTATTGCATGCAATTCTATTTCAGAGGAAAAGGTATATTCAATGTGTGAAGTGATGCGAGTCTTGAAACACATGCCAACCATTTCTTGTCGATTTTGTTGTTGTAATTAACAGAAAGTGATTGCAAGCAACGATGGGCAGGGCGAGCATAATGGTGCATTTGCTCGCACTATAAAGCAACATACTTTCTAATAGGTTTATCATTATCTTAATGCACTCAAATATGTGGTTATCAAATATTGAGAGTGGTGGGATGTTTTATGTGTAATGTTTTGTAAACAAATGTACTGGAATTTGTAACTAATGCTTGAAAATACACAACAAATAATGTCTAGTTAAAAACTAAAATAAAAGCTTTTTAATGAAAGATGCCCAGTACTGATTGCAAGTTGTGTTGTGCGAACACAATCTCTTCAATCAATTCTTGTCGAAAATCCCAGAAACCAATCGACAATTGTCTCAATTGTGGCCAACGATTGAATGGCTCTAATTTAGGCCAATATGTGTCCACTTCTTCCTCTTGAAAGCTATCGTTTACTTTGAGCCACAGATGAAGACGTTTTAAACGCCGCATGAATTGAATGCAATTCATTATCTCTACTTTCAATGCAGTGTCCTTTGACTTGACTCTCAATGAAAACTTTTTCAGTTTCAAACACTTTAATCCAATTGTCTTCAAATTCTGGTGAAGTGAATACTCGACGAAACAGTCGTCAAAATCAATGTCATTGGCTCATAAGGAGAACTACCTCTGAGTCTCAGATCATAGCCATTATTATTGTATTTTAATTAGAAAACTCTATTATTAATTACAGCGACGCTCTGATCATCACAATTATAACTGATTCTTACAGCGGATCTGTTGTCTGGCATAAGGCCAACACACCCTCAACAACAGCCCGACTGCAAGTATCTATATTCTCGGGATTGTGCCTGTCTTTCATAGTAACAGATTTGGGCCATTTTATAAACACGTTTGCATTGTTTCCGTCCGTAAATATGGTATAATTATTTGGTTTCCTTGAATACCCGGGTCTATGATTGGAGTCCAATGGAGATTGTATTTGCGTTCAGTCTCTTCAATAAATTGAGGCCAATTCTTGAAATGAACATGATCAATTGTGAAATCACGCCCTCTTTCCTCTTTGTAATCGCTATCAATATATTGGACGTCCTTTTCATATATCATAAGAAAAAGTACTGTATTTACAAAATTAGGATTAATGACAATCTGGTCTCACATATGGGATCTGATGTTTGATCTGTCGCTCGACAGTAGCCTTCACTTCATTCAAGTCCTTATAATTCCATTTCGATAACTGAAAGCCAAACGCCCAAAACGATGGCATAAATGTGCGACCAATGAGTGAAGTGTATAACTGTATGACATGTTCGGGATTATCGCCGATAAACACAAAGAAATCCAATATTCCTCCGATTGTCTTCACAGACATCGCCGGCGCCGGCATTAGTGTGTATTCTGACGGATATTATTAGAAAATATACTTAAAATTAATTCAATAAAAATTTACGACAATATGAATACCCATAGCATTGCTGTTAAGTAATAGAATTCCGTGAGAATTACCATTACTTTCGAGTACTGTATAGAAGGGGTGCTGACCGTAATTATTCTTCTCGTCATTCTATACATATGTTTGTGTATAAATAATTGTTAAATAAATAATGTGATCATTCATACAGTTTCTGGTGCATTATCTTTGGTAAATATGGGCCAAGTTAGTCTTTGTAAATACAATCCGGAATCCTGTATTTTCCGGATCCGGTACAGGAACAGGACCAGACCGGAATCAATTTTAGCATGGCCTACCGAAACAGGACAGGAACAGGAATGAATCTGTTCCGGACCGGACCGGACAGGAATGGATTCATGTCAGGAAAAAGCTAATATTGTCAGAAAATATTTAATAAAATATTTAATTTATAGCTAGCACTAAACTTATGGAATATTTTTAACGTTTAACTGTATTAATATCTCATTGAAGATGTAGTTTTGCCATTTTTAAGGGTTTTAGTTGGGTTTTTATAGATTCTTAGGTTTCTATATTAAACGACAGGATTTTCCGGAAATTACCGGTTCCGGACAGGACCGGACCGGAAAATATTTTAGCATTGGTTACCGGAACAGGACAGGAACAGGAATGGATCGACTCCGGACAGGACCGGACAGGAATGTGTTTTTCATACATTTACAAAGACTAGGCCAAGTCTTGTAATTCAAGTCATGTCTGAGAGACGGGTGAGTATTCTCTCCCAAACCGTACACATTATTTGACGGCAAATAACTTGATATTTGAATGAATTGATCGCTAAATATCAGACCTCCTATTGATGTGTCGAATCTGTTATTAAATCATAAATTAATCAGTTGTAGTTTTAAAATTTTTAAAAATACATTTTAGTAGAAGTGCTCTTCCTTTCGATATTGAACGCGAAATCAGTTTTATTTAAATTAAATCTATATTTCCTGAGATTTTCGTCAATTTTCTTCAATGGTTTTTGTAATAACGGGAAGTTTGACTGAAAGGGCACTTCATATCTCGCATTAATTGCGTCCGAAATCTTGAATCTCAATATATTTTCCGTATAATAAGTGACCGATTTTCGTCAATTTTCTTCAATGGTTTTTGTAATAACGGGAAGTTTGACTGAAAGGGCACTTCATATCTCGCATTCATTGCGTCCGAAATCTTGAATCTCAATATATTTTCCGTATAATAAGTGACCGAAAGTTTAAGGTTTTCCAATTGTTAGTGTTTAAATCACAGAAAACGGCATAGAAACTCAAATTCACTCCGAAGTTTTGGTTTTAGTCAACAAAACTAACTTCAGCACAGGTGAAATATGGGCTCAAAACGAGGTAACTTTATTGTTATTCCTATTTGCGGCTTATCTTTGATAGGATTGTAAATACAGTCTCTTTCTCGACATTGAGTTTCGCTAAATTTTTTATCTATAAAATAACAGTTTATGTAAAAGTTTTATGACTAATAAAATATTTAACTAATACTGACTCGAAATAACACAATCCAAGCGATTACTGTTTGGATCAATTGAATGACATATTGAAAACAATGTAATAATTGAGAAAAGTTTTAATGAAAACATTTTTACTGATAATTGTCGTCAGTTTATTAACAAATAAATATTCCTCACTATTTATACCTATTTTATAAATGTTTATCAATAACTATTACTTAATCCCATTCAAACACAAATACTTTTATCAAATTGAATTAAATAAGACAAACAAGATATACAATCTTTCACTAGTTTCACAATTCTATGTCTTATAACCTATTAAATAATATTTTATCAAAATAAATGAATTATTAATTATTATTTACTGTAAAATTATATTCAAAAAACTATACATCAATATTTTTAATGATGCCCTTAACATACAGTACTAAATGTTGTTTATTCCGTGTCACAAAATTTACTTTAAATGTCCTGATCATATTTTTATTTTACTGTCTATTATAAACTAATCAATGATATCACTGGTATTAATTTGTAAATTATATAGTATTTTTATACGTATTGTACTCATAAAGTATAATATTATATAAACTAATAATGTTTTTAATGGATTTTATTTAAGATTAGTTTTGATTTAATTGTTATAATTGAATTCAATTATAGCCAAGAGATGTAGTCTGATAACAAGTTTGTAATTAATAATTGGACTCTACAAGTTCAGACTCAACGTTACAAATATGATTAATTGCTACAAAATATACAGTTGTTATTATATAACTTGTTTTTATATTTGTATAACGCAATAATTAATTAAGTACAAAATGTATGATACATCTTCTCTAATATCTACAATGTACAATTTGCTAAATTGTTGGTATTTAGATACAAGTCGTTGGAATCATTTCCAGGACTCAGATAAATCTGTGGCATTATTCTCAACGTCTAAACTATACTCAAGGTTAATGATGCACCAATTTGTTTTTGTAAATTGATTACATTATACTCTAATTATTATAGAATTGCATTAAAATAATGTAATGCTTGAAACAAATTATTTATTAATTAAAATTTTAATTTTACATCAACAGTAATTTAATGTTTTATTTGTTTGAATTGAGCTTAAAATAGTGCCAACACACCGATCTCAGCAAGGTAGAACAGGCGGTCGATTTCTTTGACAAACATTTTCAAATTATGACAACTTTGTTGAGGATTTG